TTTTTTTTTTTTTTTTTTTTATCAACTGTCCTTCGATGAACTCAGCCAAAGATTTTTGATTTGTGCATCAACCTTGGTAAATCAGAAGTTGATTGTTATATATTTGATAACTATGTATTATGTACCAAATGAAAACAAATCTTTTTACCAAATAAAAAAAGTTTTAAACATAAGATAAGAAACCTTAGTTACCACTTTAGTTATTAGCAATACATTCACATCAGAGATAAGAAAAATCAAAGTTTTTTTAATAATTTTATATCATTACATTACAAAAGTTCGATAAATTAAAACTTGAAAATTATTAAAGTGACTAATATTGTTTCTTTATATTATGTATACATATTTTACTACTGTATTTCCTTGCATATTTTCCCTCTTAGCTTTTTAGCTCAAAGTTCTGAAAATTTTGAAAATATTCACACAATTTTCCCCTTCTTCTATCATACAAAATTCATCCCTCTGGAGCAGGGGTAGGCAACGTGGCGTTTCATTTGTTATGTTCTTATTGCAAGCACGTTCTTTGGAAATCGAATTACTTGCATAATTATCTTTCTTGATTTTCGAAAGTTTAGGCTAGGTTATTTAATTACGGCAAAGCCTCAAAGGCTATCTGCCTAAGGGGAGGGATGCCTTCGTGAAGGACTTTCTAAGGGAAACTGGCTCATACACGTTACACATGGGGAAAACACCCATGCAGCCAGCCCGCGATTTTCGAAAGGGAAAATACATAAGGAAATACTGTATCTTTAATATATTGTCTAAAAATCTTTCATAAACTAAGATATAAATCCCTATACTTTTATCTCAGTTGGGCATGATCACAATTTATGGTGCAATATTAGTAAAGATGTACTTATATACATAAATAGTAATACTTAATAATGGTGTATATATGCATAAATGTATTTTCACATTTATTTACTTGTAATAAAATAGAATAATTGACATATTACAATGGCATCAAAATTAAGTCTGCTGTGGCACCACTAAAATTGTTATATGTAAGTCACCACTAAAATTGTTATATTCAACACATATAAATATTAAATACCTAAAATTCTTTACCTCATTACATTTTCAATCCTTTTTTACATTAAGTGTAATTAATTTTTGGAAAACGGAGTAAACCCTTCTTATGCAACTGTTTTGAGTTTAAGGTGTGTTTATTCTTGCCAGATGTACTTGTATGTTAAACTGAATATGTTTCACGTCGTAGATTCATATTCAGAGATTTTGCTCACCTGCGACAACACAAAGTTATGTAGCCTGAAACTGACCTTTCCTCTCATCCATTTATTTTTAATTATCCGAGACTTAGAGAGAAATATGCTTAATATTAATCCTCATAGTCGCAGAATATTGCACTAGAAATGGTCCAAAGGCATTTCCATAACTTGCTTTTTTATTCCATTTCGCCAATTGCTGCTGAAAATGAGTCATTTTATTAGATTAGAGTCCCAGTGAATGGACTGCTTCAAGCGTATTTTCATGGTTTTTATCGCATGAACATAATAATGTACAAATTATTCTGATTATATCAAATAAATACAATTAAATACTTGTTTACAAAACTTAACTGTAACCTTAAAATGAAGTCTTTGTCTTTATCTGATAATCTGCTGATCAAGATTTGGCCTTGGTTTCACCTGATCAAACTTTGATGATATTAGAAATTAAGAGATTCATTGATGTACACCTTACACAAAAAAGAGGGGCAATTCTATATCTCCTGTTTTACTGGAACGACTGACAAAATTTAACTAGCACTTTTCATGTCTCGAAAGCTCGACTTGGGATATAAATTGGATCTATATATAGCATTTTTCTAACATAGCTATTTAAACACAAAATCAGACTTTTCTGAAATGGCATACCTATTCTTTTTCATATTTCAATTCTAAGACTCAAGTTATGTCCAAGTGCCAAGTTTCATAAAAATTGCAAGAGCAGTTTTAAAAAAATTAGCACTCAAAACTCTTCAATGTTAATTGAATATGGTATATATTTATTAATACCTCTTTTTTATTATTAAACTTAACATTCTTGCTTTCCTAGTTCGAAATTTAGGTTTAATCCACATAAAATTTGCAGCTATTTTCTGATTTTTCTTTAAATTTGCATTCGTTAATAATCTTTATAAATATTTTGAAATATCAGCCATAAAATTTTTGCCATCTTAAAAGTAGATGTATTTCTAGCCATGTCTGCAAAAAATTAGAATTTCTCATTCAAAATTTCTGAAGATAATGTGAATTTATACACTGGCATGTTCTGAAATTTGACATATTTGTTATTACGGTAAGCAATGAGAATGCCAGATGTGATTTACACACTTTGTTTAAAATTATTTGAAAGATTTTGATTATTGGACATTTCATGTGAAATTTCAGAAACACCACATTATTTGCTATGATACAAGATTTAATATATAGTGCACTGCATCAGAGTAAAATATTTTGGAAATGGTGTATTGTCCACAGGTTTGGTAGGTTTCTTTCATGTGGAGAAAATCAACTAGAAAAAATTTTAATTTTTACTTATTCTGTATTCATATTATATTTCATTTAAATATAACACTTTATATTATTAACCAGTTTAAGTATTTACATTATATATATATATTTAGTTCATTTATATGCCTGCAATAATCTTCTTTGATAATATGTATATAATATTTTAAAAAATTAATTCATTTTTAAAATGTTAATGATCATTTTCTTATTGGACCAAAATGTTTGAAAAGAAATTCAATGAAATATCACATCAGTAAATGAATAAGAATTCTTCCATGCTTTTTACTGAGTTGTTTGGGGGAAAATTATTTAATTTACATTTTTCATAGAAAATATTTATTTTCCAATAAGTTAAACTGTTTTCAGTGAATTTATCTCCTTGGCAGCCCAAGAATGCATTACTGTGACTTTCTTCACTGTCAAAGAAGAAACCCTTTTTCTGAAAGAAATGCAAATCTGGACCAAAGGTTCTGAATTGGTCTGATGTTGGCAAAATCCCATTTCCATTATGTTGTAGTTTCATCAGATTTGGAATAAGTTTTTTTTACTGTTTCAACATATTTTCCTGGATTCACCAGTGATGGGAACAAGGGAGCCTCTGGCCCTCTGAACACTTCCCCCCCCCCTTGGTTGTTTAAAAATCTGGTCTATGTACTTTGGTGAGACATCTTTTTAGATGTCTAACATATTATGAATACTAATCTTGGACAATAAAATAAGTCTCTGTTTTTGAAAGCCCAGATGTTTCTCTTCAAACAGCTTTACAGTTAAATTTGATAATTGTAGAAGTATGTCATGGAATCCATAAGCCAGTTATTTTTTTTTAATCAAAACCGAGAGAATTTTCCTTTTGTATATCATCTTCAAGAAATTTCTTTTGAAATTTTATCAAAATAATATATATCATGTGATAGTTTTATGCTTCTAAAATATTTTCTAATTCTTTTTACGGCAATGGTATCAATATTTTTACAAAGAATGTTAATAATCATACACTAATTTCACACATCTCAGCTATGAAAACCATAAATTGAAACATGCTTTCAGTGAAAATTTAAATAAAAATAACACAACCATTTGACACAATCATAATATGGCAACTAGAAACTCAAAACATCATGCAAAACAACTGCAATTATGAATCTTAAAAATTAGAAAGAAATTTTAAAACCAAACAGTGCTGTTTATGGGGAAAAAAATTGCTTGATTAATTTATACATTACTATAAGTAGGAGTCAGTTTTCTTTAATTTAATAAGTCCTTCACAATTTCAATCTCGTCAGCAGACAGTCCTCATATCCTTTTTGACTCACCTTGGAATCAGTCACTCTCGAGTGACACATAGTTACCTTCTAAAATCAAACTGAACATGTTTATTCAAACTGTAACACACTTCAATCAGTGTGTCGTTTTTAAATAGAATGTCCATAGTATTAACAGACTTTGGCTGAAATATTTTAGTGAATTCTTCATCACATAAGTTAGGAAAAACATCAATAACAATTTATTTCAGTATGCAAAAAATATTGGTTTTATAATTTGAATTGATTTGGTTTTAAACTAGATTATGGTATCTGGATACTATGAATTTTAATGCATTTCAGTTCAGTGATTTAATCTTGTTTCATATTTGACTCTATTCTTTAGATTTCATTCATTTGAGTATTAACCTGCATTCATTAGTATTTTATTTGTTTTTATAATTATGTTTTGGTTTTCATAAAGCAGAATATATCTGACTTGTGTTTGGCACATTATAACCATTCTTAAATTTTGCACCATAATTTTACCAACCAACCGCACGTGCTTTATTAAATTCAATTAAGCAAACCTGATTTAGCCTTCCTTGATTTCTGATTTAGCCCGTAATTTTTCTTCTTTCCACTGATAAAACAATATTCACAAAGATAACAATTTGCGTCAATGACTGAGTTAAAAATATCATTAAAAGAAATTTTTAGGTGGTTACTAAAGATGGCCAATAGTATTGCTTCCAAAATGCTGATACAAATGTATCATAAGGATATCGGATATTATTCTGAAGATGACTGTACTCTGGTATTTTAAACTATTCAGAAAATATATATCGAGTCTCTGAATTTTGATCTTGTTACACATATGTGAAGTTTTTTTTTTTTTAAACTGTCTCCTGCATACAATTTTACAAGCCCTCTTTATGTCACAATCCAACAGGAACCATTAGCTTTTCAAAAAGAATATCTTAACTTTTGCTTTAGAATTCTGACAACATGAAAAAGCATGCTGTCATATAGTAACTGACACCTTTACAGAAGATACCAGAAGTTCTATCTTATAAAGAAGACATTAAATCTTGAATTTTAAAGTGGTTTAAAAAAAAAGGTTGATTTTGCATTTAACTGTAATATACAGTTCTTAGAATGCAAAGTTTATGCATACATATATTTGAAAATTATCTGCATTTTGATTTCATAAATCTATTACATATACACTTATAAGCTCTAATTATTATTTAACCCTTGAATCAGCATCTTTATATTTATTTTCAACTTCTGCAGTCACAATAACAATGAATACTTGCACATTTGTAATCAAGTCACAAAGTTGTAAATAAAAGTTAAATGATCAAAACATAAACAAATGAACTATATCTGGTAGATTACATAATCTATTACATTTTGTACTCTAAAAACATATTTTTTTTATTTGATTAATTTCAATACCACTACATGTGTCACGTCCTGGTGAAAATTTTTGCTTTCTCAAAAGGAAAAATTCTGCATACTGCACGACTGCGTAACAAGCCAATGGGTACTGGCCCATAAGTCCTGGAGTCTGTAGAATTATGTCTGTTATCCCCTTCTAACCACACGTGACCCTGAGGTACAACTTGAGTAACAAATCCTCTATGAACTTTATCACCAGGGATAGCTTTTACACGCTTGCAAATGAAAAGTTTTGGGTTGGAAGGTGATCGCGAAACAATTATATCTCCCCTGTTGATATTTTTCCTTATTATGGATATATGTTCTGTCAACACTATGTCATTGGAAAATAAAGTAGGTTCCATGGATGGTCCTTGACAGATGACAAAGTCGCCAAGAAATTCTAAAGTACAATACACAACACAACCAAAATATCCTAAATAGCCACCAGTAATTAAACTCTTGGTAAAAAATTTCTGTAGAGAAAGTTTTGTTAGAAGCATAGCCTAGAAATTAAAGAAAACATATATTGTAGTCATACATCATAATATTAAAAAAGAAAAAAAAGAGTACTTATTGGTTAATTGGTATCAAAAATACCATTCATAACTTTAACCTATTCTAGATTCTTCTACGAAGATGAGATTTTTATTTATTTTGCTTTCCTTTGCCTATTAATGTTCTCTTTTTAAAGGGGGTTGGCTTGCTTTTTTTTTTTTTTTTTTTTTTTTTTCCATTTTAAGTCAACGTAAATTCAGAGACTGGCATCCACAAACAAGCAGTGGAACGCAAGTCAGAATAAGCAAAATACAGGAATATGTGACAAAAGCACAGATCATCCATCACTTGTCTTCTTGGTTATCCGAGTTCACACTGGTGGTAGACACAAGTTAACACACAATAACAATCTGTTTGATGCCACTTTAAATGTGATTATCAAAAAATACCTATTGCAAATCATAAAGACATTTCAACGCCAATAGATTGTTCAAAGTATATTAGGGAATACCAGATAACCAACAAGTACAAAATCCAACTTGGCATAAATATACAGCAAGCGACACTTAACGTGATTGAGAATATTACTCAGATATTGTAACTGATTTGCCAAAGTCTCACATGTTTGTACATATACAAAAAGTTGAAAAATATATTGCATGATCTAACGATTATAGAATAGTTTTTTAAGTGAAATTCCCAAATAAGGTCAAAATAATAAAAATTGCAAATGACAGAGAATTATCGCCAAATTTTGGCAACGTAATCGCCAAATTAAGTTGCCAAACAACTTGGTTTTGATTTCAATCAATCATTTAAAAATTAAACAAGCAAAAAAATAGGAATAAATTTTAAATAACTCTATTGATTTTGAGAACGATTAGACACAAACCTTTCTTCTTCAGGAACAAAAAAACTCAGCAGAATTCTTCCTTTTCACTTAGGGGGAAAAATTTGCAGAAAACATCTATGATAAACTAAGGTTTCTTTTTTTGCTTAATTTAAAATTTTAGATTGGCATGGTCTCTGTCAGAGAGCAATGCTTTTCCAATATTATGATTAAGGGTACAGCATTGATCAAATAATTTTCAGAAACTTTATGAACAGTTTGTAAATGAATTTTTGCATTAAAGGCATTATGAACAATTTACAAACAATTGTTCAGATTTGTAATTTTCAAGTATATATTTTTTCATCATTTAATGCTATTAAAATAGCCAAAAACGATCACATTAACGGTGCCTACTGTATTCACGATTCATTTACAAATTTTTAAAACTATATTTTCTCAAAAGTAAAGATAATACACTTATGTAATTTTGGATATCAAATTTTTCACTTGGTCTCAATTAAGCTTACAAAAATAACTAGCGGTAATTAAATAATTACTAATAGTAGCATTGTAATTAATAACAAAATATTTCTAATAAATATCATCTGCTCATAAGAGAGGTTTGGCCACCTTTCATATGGTAATTACACACTAACAGATCCAGATTCAAACCCTGCTTAATCACTAGCTCTGTTCTAGAGATATTTTCAAAGTATCAGTTGTGACTTACAAGAAAGGGGGAAATGCTTAATAATACAGCAAAAGCTACTAATGACACAAGAAAAATTCTTTTTTAGTGTGAAAATGCTATGCTTTTATGGATGGCATTTACAAAATATGAATTCTGACATTTCAAAAGACACTTATTAGTATTGTTACATATTTTTGTATTTAGTTTGCTATTTTTAGCAGGACTGTAATTAAATTTGTTTCATTTCCCCGTGCAACGCAGCACGGGTTTTAAGACATGAGTTTTAAGAGAAAGCTACATCGAAAAAGTAAATATAAAATTGCATGTGCATTTAATAAATAGATACCTCGTACAGTCAAAAGTCTTTAATCCAGATGTCCATAATCCGGAATGATCTATAATCCGGACCTCAAAGCTACAAACTTTCAGCGCATGCGTAAAAGCATAATGCGTTTCGCATGCGCATATTTGTTTAGTGTATGTGCATTAATACCTTTACGCATGCACAGATGTGTTTATGAATGCACATAATATGTTTACGCATGTGAGTTTAATGTATAATGGATGGTATAAGCTAAAATTATCTAATTATCTATTTCAGTTAATGTTGCAGATTGCGTTGTTCCTTAATCTTTGAACTGGATCTAGCTCATTATTTTTTGCAGACCGTTAGAGCAATTTTATAAAAGTAAGCTTGAACTTTCGATTATGTCAAAAAGAATTTCCGATTCTGGAGCTGCCAAAGGATCTACAAAGCGAAAGCATGTTTCGATGTCCATCAAACAAAAAGTGGAATAGCTGCAAAAAATGGATAAAGGCATATCCTTTGCTTCTCTAACCATTCCGAAATCTGTTTATCAATTTCACGCTGCTCTGCGGGGTGGGACGTCGCGGCACACAATGAACTGGAAGTTGATCTGTCAGCACTATCCTTATCTTCAGGGCAGATGTTTTTATTTTATTTGGCTTATTCCTTACTAAATGTAGTATTTCATCTCGATGTACTCCATCTTTGATATGATTTAAATCAAATTCCTCGTTATTATAAATATCACGAATACACATCAAATAGTTTTCTAGTTCCAATTTTCTAATTTCGACTATGCGTAATGTATGCTTTACACATGCACGCGTTGAAAGAAATGTTTAATAAAGTAAACAAATAAATATTAAGCTTTTTTTTTTAATTTTTATACCCTTTAGATCATAATTGCTCTTTATTTCATAAATTATGGTTTCATATTTTTAATTTTATAATTTCTGCATGCCATTTTACCAGATTTAAATTGAAGACCTATAATACGGAAAAAACAATAATCCGAAATCGACGAAGTCTCGACGAGTCCAGATTAAAGACTTTTGACTGTAATTGCTTTTGCTTTCCGGAAACCTTGAGAAAATAGAAATTACCAGAAGCTTCTCGTGACTCATTAAAAAACTTATAAAAGCCGGAGAAAAACATCTCAGTTCAGTTGTTTTAGTGAGCTGTTGTTGTTTACTTGCCTGCTGTAAATTTTGAGATCGGATTAGCTTTCTCTGCACTTTGGATTGCATTCTATTTAACATTTAAGTAGTTAAAAATATAACTACTGTGTGATATTGTACGAATATTGTTGAGGGAAAATTTCAGCATTTTGTTTTATTTTCAATAAGAATAAGTTTTATTAACTTTTGATCAGACTTGTGCATTTAAATAAATCTATTACGAACCTGTACACATGCAACAGTATTTATTGATATGTTTTGAATTTTTAAAGCCTGAAAGAGGAAGAAAATTAGGTACTATTCGGTTTTGAGGGCCGTAAAAAATCACCAAACTATTGTTGATGCCAGTGCTGTCAAAAATAATTGTGGCAACCCTAATGCAAGAAAGGAAGTATAATAGGAAATAACTATCTAAGATTGATGTTTTAATTTAGATGAAAGATTAATTTCATATAATATTTTTTTATTATTATAATTTATATAAACAGGGTAAACATGACTGAATGAAGGATAAGAGTAAACAACTATTTCAGATCATTATTATAATTTATATAAAAATTGCTAAACATAACTGAATGGATGCCTGCATCACTATTTCGTTACCAAGTTATCACTAAAGCATAATTTCATCTCATTGGTTGTTCAAACATAATTTTCTATAATGAATTATGCCTTTTCTTTGAAAAAATTCTCGGTAAAGTGCAGAATTGCCTATTTATTTGTTTGCCGCTTTTTACAAGTGTAAAAACAATTTGATTTTTGTCAATTTTCTTTTACTTTTTAAGTGAAAATAGGTTGATGTGTACATAGAGAAAGTCAAAAGTGTTCGCAGTGCCATTTTTGTGCAATTCTGGGATTTTTTTTTTTTTTTTTAAGTGAAAATAGGCCGATGTGTACATGGATACCGAGTATGTGCAATTCTTAAAAATGCATCAAGCAGGGGGCTTCTGCCTTTACCAAAATTCTATTGCAGACTTTCTCTGGGCAATCCCAAATGCAAATTCTAGGATATCAAAAAGGTTTAAAATTAAACTAGTATTTCATGGCGTTGTGATGACTTCGTGGTTTAATAAGGCACCATTTAGCAAGACGAAAGAAACATTTATTAAATATATAATTCAAAGCATAATATAATAGTTACTCAGAGCAGTACGTCGCTCCTACCGCATAGTACAATCTACTACCTTCCTCTTCCGAGGCTAACATGCAACTCCTAATAAATACATTAACCCTTCTCGAAGAAGAGCTACCTGCGCCAAGCATGCTCTGTTGATCGCCAAACAGTCGCCAGATATCACACCCCCGTCGTAAGATTGTTGTTGATATTATTTACAAATCAATCAGCAATCTGGAAACTAAAATCTAGCAACTGTTTGCGATCAACGTGAAAAAGAAAAAAAAACTACATATACTTTTATACATTCTCTCCTAATTTTCAAATCTCAATTACTATAGACATACCTCAATTTACTACATAAACATAGATAACACATTTTTATATATAAACATAGATAAATCATTTTTAACTTCACTTGTTTCCGAACCTTATTATTATTGTAACAATTTATCAATTCTTAATTCAAAGAAACCAAGTTGATATTTTCTTTTATAAACATGTTAAAATATACCCTAGTATTATTCCAATGATGACAGTAAAATTATTAAGTTTCTTATATATATATAAAATTATATTCTTAACATTCCTTTTAATTAATGATGCTGCAGCATGATTTAAATCCTTGGGAGACAAATATCTAAATTTACCACTTACCTCGAATATTTGTTATCCAATAATTTCTCTATCTATTTCAAATTACATAAACATCTTATTTGCACAAAATTGTAAAATGATTATGAAAAGCAAAGAAAACTATCTAATTATTAACTATACAAAATGTTCGTGAAGATGAACAGTAAATTAATGTTCAAAGTTCACAAGTGGGAAGTCTGGATAATGCATCCGCGTTTGACAGTTTTTTTTTCCAGGGCAATGTTCTATT